TGTGATGCTACCGAAAATTAAATATATTTTTTTTTGATTCAATGACTCAGATTTTCAGTTTATAGTGTTCATCCACACTCAGAGCTACCGAATCCGACTTTTATTGCCATTAAGAACAACATACATTTTGTTACCGTCAAACTATTACAATATATATATGTGTCGATATTTCCAGTGGCACAGCGCTAAATCTGCGCACTTACAACGCTACAAACCCGGGTTTTGATACCCATGGTGGGAACAGCATAGATAGCCCATTGTGTAGCTTTGCGTTTAAATATAAACAAGACAAATCGGCTAATATACCGCTCGGTGGCGATAGCGGTAGCGAAGTTGGTAATCCGATTATAAAAAGTCTACGGATCCATTTGTCTTGGCAACCAGTATACAAAATCAGAATATATTACACCTTGAAACTTTATCTTTTCTAGTACCCATAGTAACACATATTGTTATTTTAAATACCTAATTTTCTCAGGTATATTTAACTACCATGTGTAGTTTTAGCACAAATTATTTAAACAATAAAAAATCTGAGCTTATACTTAGATTTATTTCCTCACCAAGTAATAGTAAAGAATCAGTACGTGAAGAGTAAGAGGAAAAGCATTAACTAATTCATGAAAGCTAGAAAATGTTTGACAAGACTTTATGCTATAGGCATAATATTTGTGAATTTTATCACAGATATAAGCTTGTTTGTTTGTTTTTGTTCCTAAGTACAAAGCTACATAATGAACTATCTGTTCTGTACCCACTAGGGGTGTTAAATCCCCTTTTCTTTTTTAACGTTATCAGCTTTCGGACTTACTTCTGAGCCACTGGGGGCACAGCTATAAGGCCTAATAGGTTTAAAATGCATCGACAACTTTTGGCGTTTAAAACCATCACATTTAAAGACACAATTCTTTTTTATTCAGTCCTAAGGTAATGGCTTGACGATTAAACAAAAACTGTCGCAAAATTGAAGTATCTAAGAAAATGTCTAATCAACACTATAAACAACCTAATCAAAAAAAGATATACATATATGTACATATCCATAATCAGAAATTCCTTTCCCGTGGATAACTAAAAAACAGCGAAATGTTTACTGTTATTGGAGCATTTTGACATACTGAAAAGCACGAACATCGTGGCATAGATAAAGCATAAATTATATTATCATAACGGTTTGTTTCTGGATGGTCATGGTACCCCAAGTTGATCCACTTTCCCTTGTTTTCTAATGGAAGTACAAGGGATATCCCCGTTTTGTAAATTCGGACTTCCTGATCTGAATATAACTTTATGATCTGAGTGTATATGAATATTTTGTGTCGCAAAAGGCTGTTGCATATCTTTCCCCAAAGCGATCAGTTTTCGGTAGCATCACACTACCTACGTAACGCTAAAGAGTGTTAAAACGTAGTTGATCAGTTTTCGGTAGCATCATACTACCTACGTAACGCTAAAGAGTGTCAAAACGTAGTTGATCAGTTTTCGGTAGCATCAAACTACCTACGTAACGCTAAAGAGTGTCGAAACGCAGTTGATCAGTTTTCGGTAGCATCACACTACGTACGTAACGCTAAAGAGTGTCAAAACGGAGTTGATCAGTATCGGCTTTAATTGTGTTAAATGTACCTGAAACAACTGAGACTTCTTATCGATGCTTATGTATAGTGTAAATAAATATGCTTCTTTAGAATGTATGTGCTATTAAGTGCAGTGTAAATAAGTGCTATTGTATGTAGTGTGAATATGTTCTGTACATAATTACTCTTGTGTGTAGTGTAAATATGTGTTATTAAGTGCAATGTAAATAAGTGCTATTGTGTGTAGTGTGAATA